TCTGGGGTTCCAGTGATTCTCCTGCCTCAGCCTCCCAAGTAGCCGGGATTACAGGTGTGAGCCACTGTGCCCGGCCAGCACTTGAAATCTTAAGACGGTGGGTGCACCTCTTACCTTCCACACTCTTTCCCTTTCCACCAGGTGGCATCCACAGCCCTCCAGCCTGAAGCATGCAGGCAGTGACAAGGCCTAGGGGATGACATAACTATATGATGGAAGAAAACTGGTTCCTAAATGTCAGGGTGGAACAGAACCAGGAATGTTCGTGTCAGTCTGATAGAAAAGAGAGGGAAATAAATATCTATCTTCCTTAAGCCCACAGTGTCTCTTTACCATTTGAGTGTTTTTATTACAACCGCCTAACCTTACCTTAACTAACTATAACCCGCAAATTCTGAAACAATTGAAAAATAAAACAAAAGAACATGGCTTATGGAGGCCAGAATACTACCTTTATTATTATTATTTTAGAGATGGGGTCTTCTTCTGTTGCCCAGACTGAAATGCAGTGGCATGATCTTGGCTTACTGTATGTAATCTCCGCCTCCTGGGTTCAAGCAATTCAAGCAATAATCCTCCTGAGTAGCTGCAACTACAGGTGCACACCACCACGCCTGGCTAATTTTTGTATTTTTTTGTAGAGACAGGGTTTTGCCATGATGGCCAGGCTGGTCTTGAACTCCTGACCTTATGTGATCCACCCCCCTCAGCCTCCCAAAGTGCTGGGATTGTAGGCATGAGCCACTGCGCCCAGTCAGCCCTCTGTGTTTTAAGGCTGCAAAAGAAAATACTGCAGGCGTTGGATCCCAGGGAAAGAATGGCCCAGTGGGTGGGTGCCTGAGGGGGTGAGGGGACCCTGAAGTCTCTCCCAAGGTGGGGAAAGCTGGGCTGACACCCCTCTGCTCTGTGTCAGAGCCACTGGGGTGGGAGGGAATGTGAGGCACTCAGAGGAAGGAGTGGGGTCCCAGTGGGAGGCCCAGACGTCCTGCGAATGTGGCAGGTGGACAGGCAGCTTGGAAAGCGCAAATCCACAGGCTCATGCCTATGCGAGTGGAGGTGGGGGGTCCCTCAGGTGTTCCGTGGGCAGATGCTCCCCTCTCTCTCTGGGTGGTTTCTGAGGGGCCAAAGAACTTTTTTTTTGTGTGTTTTTTTTTTTTGTTTGTTTGTTTTTTAGGACGGAGTCTCGCTCTGTCGCCCAGGCTGGAGTGCAGTGGCGCGATCTCGGCTCACTGCAAGCTCCGCCTCCTGGGTTTACGCCATTCTCCTGCCTCAGCCTCCTGAGTAGCTGGGACTACAGGCGCCCGCCACTGCGCCCGCCACTGCGCCCGGCTAATTTTTTGTATTTTTAGTAGAGACGGGGTTTCACCGTGGTCTCGATCTCCTGACCTTGTGATCCGCCCGCCTCGGCCTCCCAAAGTGCTGGGATTACAGGCGTGAGCCACCGCGCCCGGCCGGGGCCAAAGAACTTTAACCACTTTCCTCAAATACCCCTTTCTGTGTATCCAACTGTTCTGAACAATTTGAAAAGAAGTCCATGTTCTCCATTTTGAGTCAATCTCTTGCTCCCTTGTATGACAAATCTCCCCTCCTCCTCACTCCCAGATGTGAGGTCAGAAGAGGGGCATCCCCTCAGAGCCCCAGCAAAAACCATTTCACTGTGCCTTAGGCCACTGGGGCTTTCAAAAGCCTCACTGCAGCTGCCTGAGGTGGCTCACACCTGTAATCCCAGCACTTTGGGAGGCCAAGGTGGGTGGATCACCCACCCTGGTCAGGAGTTCGAGACCAGCCTGACCAACACCGTGAAACCCCGTCTTTACTAAAAATACAAAAAAATTAGCCGGTTGTGTTGGGGGGCACCTGTAATCTCAGCTACTTGGGAGGCTGAGGCAGGAGAATTGCTTGAACCTAGGAGGCAGAGATTGCAGTGAGCTGAGATTGCACCATTACACTCCAGCATGGACGACAGAATGAGACTCTGTCTCAAACAAACAAACAAAACCTAATACTATGTAAATGCCATGCCAATTGTTGTTATACCGTATTGTTGAGTCAATGATGACAAGACAAAAATGTCTAGACATGCTCAGTAGACAATTTTTTTCATAAATACACAATCCCAGATTGGTTGGTTCCACTGGTGTACATCTCACAGAAAGGACCAACCGTTTAATTACAAACAAAAGTGAACCAATCCCATGTATACAGTTTCATGCATTTTCATAAACTGAGCACACCTGTTTCACCAGCTCCCAGGCCAAGAAACAGAATCTGAGCAGCAACCAGGAAGCCCCTGATACTGTTTCCAGCCACTGCCCACCCAAACCTCGAGGCCCATATATCTTTTTGGCCTGTTTTGTACCACCTGTGAAGGAAATCTTACGGTGCTCTTCAGTATATGTTTTCAGTCTTGCACCTGTGGGCTCATTCGCCCTGCCCCGCCCTGGTTGCGCCTGAGTGTGGGGAAGCCCCAGGAATGGTCTGTTTCTGTTTTCTTTGGAGTGAGAGAGTGGGCGTGGGCCTTCTGAAGTGCACTGCCTTGTGACATGGGCAGGTGGATGGGGGCGTGTTCTGGGGACTAGGCTTTTATCTGATTCCCAGTGTCTAGAAGCAGGGATAAATGTGGGAAAGGAAAATTAATAAATTTCAAATCACAAAACCCCAGAATCACTAAGTCAAAGGGAAAAGTCAAACTGGGAACTGAGTCAGGCAAAGCTGCCTCCTATTTTATTCCTAAATAAGAAACTACAAAGAGCTACATACTTCCTTCACAATTTACCTACAGGGAAATTGCTTGTGAGCCTCATTTCACCCTGGCAATGTAAATTGATAGCTTATCTTCACAGGTGCAGGACAAAGGCCAGAACTCTTAAGTCATCCCTCTGCTCACCTGAGACAAATGCATACCTGATTTCTCCTTCTGCTGAATTGTTTATGTAAAAATGCAGATTCACTGAGCCAGACTAAGGCATAAGGGACTATTTCTCTACCCCACTCTCACATGTAAATTGTGTATTCAGTGAAAGGCTGAACAAAGATTCAAAAGAAGGCAACCTTTTGTCTCTTATTTCCCTAAGACCTGGCAGCCCCACAACCCCCCTTTGAGTTGTCCTGCCTTTCCAGAACAAACCACTGTTCATCTCGCATGTATTAATCAATGTCTTATGTCTCCCTAAAATGTATAGAACCAGGCCAGGCGCAGTGGCTCATGCCTGTAATCCCAGCACTTTAGGAGGCTGAAGCAGGTGGATCATGAGGTCAGGAGTTCCAGACCAGCCTGACCACCATGATGAAACCCTGTCTCTACTAAAAATATCAAAATTAACTGGATGTGGTGGTGCGCACCTGTAATCCCAGCTATTCAGGAGGCTAAGGCAGGAGAATTGATTGAACCCGGGAGTCGGAGGTTGCAGTAAGCCGAGATCATGCTATTGCACTCCAGCCTGGGCGACAGAGCCAGAGAGCAAGACTCCATCTCAAAAAAACAAAACAAAACAAAACAAAAACCAGAACAACAACAAAAACATCAGGCTGTACCCTGACTGCCTTGGACACATGTCCTCAGGGAACCTCCTGAGGTGTGTGAGGTGTGTTCTTAATCAACTTTCTTTTTTTTTTTTAAATGGAGTTTTGCTCTTTTGCCCAGTCTGGATCTCAGTTCACTACAACCTCTGCCCCCGTGGGTTCAAACGATTTTCCTGCCTCAGCCTCCCAAGTAGCTGGGATTATAGGCACCTGCCACCACCCCTGGCTAACTTTTGTATTTTCAGTAGAGTCGGGGTTTCGCCATGTTGACCAGGCTGGTCTCGAACTTCTGACCTAAGGTCATTAACCTGCCTAGGCCTCCCAAAGTGCTAGGATTACAGACATGAGCCACTGTGCCTCTCCCTTAATCAGCTTTCTAATATGATTGAAACTTTGGCTGGGCACGGTGGCTCACACTTATCAACCCAGCACTTTGGGAGGCAGAGGTGGGTGGATCACCTGACCTCAGGAGTTTAAAACCAGCCTGGCAAACATGGTGAAACCCTATCTCTACTAAAAACACAAAAATTAGCGGCCCGTGGTGGTGGGCGCCTGTAGTCCCAGCCACTCAGGAGGCTGAGGCAGGAGAATCGCTTGAACCTGGGAGGCAGAGCTTGCAGTGAGGCGAGATTGCACCATTGTACTCCAGCCTGGGCAACAAGAGCGAAACTCCGTCTCAAAAAAAAAAAAAAACATTAAGTTGATTAAGACCTGTCTCAGATACTTTTGCTTCACTGATAGGAGATAGAGTTTAAGAGATTTTCTTTGTTCATGTCATTTCTGTGGCCCTGGACTCTCAAGATCCGCTGTCCGCTTGTGAGGTCCCCAGCCCTGACATGTTTTATCGCACAGGCAGGAGTAGGGCTGCCAGGTCAGACCCAGCCCTGGGGACACCAGGGAGAGTCATGCAGTCATTCAAGCCCAGTCCCCGCAGCTTGGGCTCCTCTTCTGAGCATGCCAGTGGCCTCCTGGGGTCAGCTCCTAGGAAACATGGTGGCCCTTCAGCTGCTCCCCAGGACCCCCTCTCCCCAGGCCCGCTCTGCTCCTTCAACTTCTAAGTGTGGCTCAAGCCTCCTTTCAGGGGTCAGGAAGCCATTCAGTGTGCACTGACCACTTCCCGTCGTCATCCCGCTCAGACCCTTGTCTGTATTTGCTCCCTCATCCTCGTCTTTTGGAAGATTTTGAAAGATCCCCTGAAGTGCAGCCTTCTGTAGGCCTCAGCCCAGGCAAGGAGCGGGGAGCTGGGACTGTTCCCACGTCCTCAGAGCCTTTGTGCCCCTCCCTCTTCCAGCCCCTCCAGGATGGTGGCAGCCAGAACAACACCCGCTCTGTCCCCTCGGGCAGCCGGGACACGTCTTCCTTGGCCAGCTCTGAATTTCTGCTCTGAGTGCAACAAGCCACAGGTCCAACGGGCGCGATCTTACAGTCACGCAATGCCCCCTCCCCGTCCCATTTCTGGCACTTAGACACGAGTCGAGTTGGAGGAGAAAAATCTGCTTTATTTTATTTTCACCATTTCTGGGGTGGCTATGCAGGAAGCGAGTGGCGCGCTTCGAAGGTGTTCGGAGCCATCAGGTTTCAGTGCTGGGAGAAGGTAGCTTCCATATCGCAGGCAGGGTCGGCGTGGCAGCCGTCTGGAGGGAGAGGTGGAGTCAGGAGACCCCCGGCCGCGTCCCCGCCCGCCTCCCCCTGGCCCCAGCGCGCCTCGCCCTGCTCACCCGGGCTACAGCAGAGGCCGAAGACGGCGCAGCGGCCGCCGCTCCCGCACGCCTTCTGGCCCGACTGGCAGGGCGACGGCAGGTAGTTCTCCTCCTGGCAGCGCAGCGCCTCGGCCGTGCCCACGAAGCAGCCCAGCTCTTCCGCGCAGCAGATATTGGGCCCAAAGCAACGGCCTTTGCCCCCGGGGCCGCAGGGGAGGCACTGCGGGGACGGGCGGGGTGAGCGGGAGGAGCAGGAGCCAGGGTGGTGGTGGGGACTCGGAGGACCCTGCGAGGTCGGGCGGGGTGCGCGGGGCGAGGATGCTGGGGTCCGGGGCTCGGAGTTCGGGCGGAACAGCGGGGCTGCAGGCGCGCTGGGTCGCCCTCTGGGCCTCGACCGCGGTCAAGGGCGGAGCGTCAACATCCACTCAGCTCCTGGGGTTCTCAGGCGAGGCCGGAGCGGGGCGCGCCCCTGTGGCAGCGGGTCCCTCCCGCCCCGGAGCGCCGCGGGACCAGGGCTGGGGACTTACCTTGCGCACGTCGAGGTCCGGCGCGGCCCTCTTGCCTCCCAGGGGGCAGTTCTGGATGTAGCAGGCGGAGGTCAGCGCCAGAAGGCCGAGGAGACAGCAGGCGAGGCTGGGGCCGGCCATGGTGCGGGTGCGCTGGGTCCAGGGTCGGTGACTGGTGGCGGGCTCTCCGGCCTGGCCTTTTTATGCTTGGGCATTGCGTCGGTGGAGCTCTGTTTAAGAGGTTGGTAGTATGACTGGTCACAGAGGGCCGCCGTGGGTCAGGCTGTGTGTGTACGGGCTTGCCTCTTCATTAGCAGGGCCTGGGCCCGGGTAAAGGTCACCGCGTTGGCTAATGGTCTGGGCACAGAAGGTGAGGTGCCTTGCGGAAGGGAGCAGGCCGGGGTGGCCTGGGCCACTAGGGTGGGACAGGGAGAATTTGAGGTGGGGTGTAGCCCAGCCAAGGACTTTATCCAGCCTCCCAGTACCTCGAGGAGCAGGGCTGGGGCAGGGAAAGTGGACACTGGGACTCCTCCAGGTTGGAGGAGGCTCCGGCAGGGTCTACCCACCCTCTTGGCCCACCACATATGTGGATCCTTGTCCCTTCTTTTAGGAACATTTCCTCTTCCTAAACCCAAATTTCTGGGAAACGTCTTCACCCTCACCACACAGCAACACCCACTTCCCTGCACCCGGAACTTAGATAGGAAGAGATCACATCTGTCTCTAATCGGTAACAGATACTCCACCTTTCCTTTCACTATAAATTAGGCAACAAATCACAGCGGAATTAGCAATACCTGTAGCTTTGTCACAAATCGAAATAACAGATAACTTCCTATCACAGCTGTCACAAATGCGTCTATATACTGTTTAGATTCATTATATCTTCAAAATTATCACAGTTATTGGACCACCAGATCTTGCTATCTAATGGTTAATAAAGAAGCACATTTTGACACCACCAAAATGTGTTTTGGCTGGGCGCCATAACTAATGCCTGTAATCCCAATACTTTGGGAGTCTGAGGTGGGCAGATTGCTTGAGCCCAGAAGTTCAAGACCAGCCTAGGCAACATAGTGAGAACCCCCAGCTCTACAAAAAATACAAAAATTAGCTGGGCGTGATGGTGCGCTCCTGTAGTCGCAGCTACTTGGGAGGCTGAGGCAGGAGTACCACCTAAACCTGGGAATTCAAGACTGCAGTGAGTATGATGGTACCACTGCACTCTAGCCAGAGTGATAGAGCGTGAGCAAGACCCTGTCTTAAAAAAAAAAAAAAAAGTTTTAACATTTTGATATCTGAATATAAATATATATATATATATGTATTTTTTCTTGAGATGGAGTCTCTCTCTGTTGCCCAGGCTGGAGTGCAATGGCGGGCGCCATCTTGGCTCACTGCAACCTCCGCCTCCTGGTTTCAAGTGATTCTCCTGCCTCAGCCTCCCAAGTAGCTGGGATTACAGACCTATACCACCACGCCTGTCTAATTTGTGTATCTTTAGTAGAGAAAGGGGTTTCACCATGTTGACCAGGCTGGTCTCGAACTCCTGACCTTAGGTGATCTGCCCGCCTTGGCCTCCCAAAGTGCTAGGATTACAGGCGTGAGCTGCTGCACTTGGCCCTATAATTGTTCTTTTTTGTAATTACATTTCTTTCGTTTTCTACATCAAAATTTTTTTGGCCGGGCGTGGTAGTTGACCAACCTGGCCAACATGGTGAAACCCCATCTCTACTAAAAATACAAAAATACAAAATACAAAAATACAAAAATTAGCCAGGCATGAGGCAGGCACCTGTAATCCCAGCTATTCAGGAGGCTGAGGCAGGAGAATCACTTGAACCCAGGAGGCGGAGGTTGCAGTGAACCAAGATCATGCCACTGCACTCCAGCTTAGGCGACAGAGTGAGACTCCATCTCAAAAACAAAATTTTTTTTTGTATTTTTAATATATCTCAAAAGGAAAATAATTAAAAGAAAAGATGGATTACCCCAGTGGGAGAGATATTGCTAGATATCATGAATAAGGAAGGAAAGGCGCTGCTCAACTCTCCCTTTGTGAAAGCACCTGCCACCCAGCTGCTGGGAGTGCTGTCTGCAGGTGACCCTCAGGGGTAGCTCCTCTAGGGCCTGCTTCAGCTGCAGAGAACCGCCTGGCACAGGGTCACACCCTTCCCAGGTGGCCCACATGCAATGACTGTTACATTTTGGCCCAAACGCAGGATAACTCTGAAGGAGCATTTTGGCTCCAGAGCTCCCTATGGGGTCAGCTGAGGTCTGCATAGCAGTTCTCCCTCTGCCCACTCCTATTTTTGTCCCCTCCCTCCCAAAGGTGTGGGTCCCCAGGGCCTTCTGTAATAAAAACCCTCTTTGTGAAACCACCTCCGTCTGTTCCCTAGGGAACGCAGCCTGAGGCAGAATGGAAGAAATGAGAGCACTGTGAGAGACCAGCCTCAGTGGTGGGCCGGTCCCCGACCCCTGGGAGAGGAGAATGGGACAGTTCCAGACTCTCCTGCCCTCTTGTTGAGGAAGGTGAAGAGACTGATAAGGCCAAGCGGGTCACAGAGCCTATCTGACCCTAGTCACTGGCATGAGTCACTGGCATGAGCTGTCTGGCACCCAGGAGCCGGTCAGGCTGACCTGCATTACAAATCAGCAGCCAGTCCTCTGTCACCCAGATTAACTTATTGGCATTCCAGGCCTAGAAGGCCAAGGGCCTGACCCAGCCATGGCCCAGAGAGGCCTCCCACCTGCTCTGTGGGCACGATGACCTCACTTAAGCTAACACATGTGCATAAATTACCATAGTTTTATGTCCCCCAGATGGGCCACATCCCTTCACCTGTTCAACAACTCCTCTTCTGAAGAGGCTCTGGGCCCCATTACAAATGCCTGGAAACAGCAGCGACAAAACACAAAAACCTCTGCCCTCATGGGGCTTATATTCTAGTGGAGGAAGAGAGATGTTAAACAACAAACACATTTCAGTTAGGAACAAATATAAACAATAAACAGACTTCAGTAACAACACACATATTGCAGTAGATTAGTAAGTGCTACAGAGATAAAAGGGAGGCCTGCTGCAATTTCACCGAGGGTAGTCAGTGTAGACTTCTTTGTGAAGAAGAGAAAATAAGCCGTGCAGATGTCTGAGGGGACATTAGCTTTCTATTGCTGCATAACAAATTACCACAGGCCAGGCACAGTGGCTTATGCCTGTAATCCCAACACTTTGGGAGGCTGAAGCGGGAGGATCACTTAAGCCCAGGAATTAGAGACCAGCCTGGGCAACATAGGGAGACCCAGACTCTATACAATGTTTTTTTTTTTTTTTTTTTTTTGAGACGGAGTCTTGCTGTGTGGCCCAGGCTGGAGTGCAGTGGCCCGATCTCGGCTCACTGCAAGCTCCACCTCCGGGTTCACACCATTCTCCCGCCTCAGCCTCGGAGTAGCTGGGACTGCAGGCGCCCGCCACCACGCCCGGCTAGTTTTTTGTATTTTTAGTAGAGACAGGGTTTCACCATGTTAGCCAGGATGGTCTCGATCTCCTGACCTCGTGATCCACCCACCTCGGCCTCCCAAAGTGCTGGGATTACAGGCTTGAGCCACCGCGCCCGGCCTTATACAATGTTTTTAAAAAATTATCTGGGTTTGTTGGCATGGACCTGCAGTCCTAGCTACTTGGGAGGCTGAGACAGGGAGATCACTTGAGCCCAGGAGTTCAAGGCTACAGTGAACTAGGATGGCGCTACGGCACTCCAGCCTGGGTGACGGAGTGTGAGTCTGTCTCAAAACAAAAACGAAAACAAAAAAGCTACCACAAATTTGGCAGCTTAAAACAATATTTGCTTATTACATTGGGCCAGGCATGGCTTAGCTGGGTCTTCTGCTCTGGGGCTGCGGTCAGGGTGTCAGCCAGGCTGCATTCCTTTCCGGAGCCCAGGTAATTGTTAGCAGAATTCATTTCCTTGCAGCTGTCAAACTCGTGGTGACCTGCTTCTTCAAGGTCAGGAACAGAGACAGTCTCTGCTGCTTCAAGTCTAAGCATACAGGGAGTCCTTTTCTAAGGGGCACCTGACCTGATTAGGTCAGACCCACCTGGATCAAATTGATTAGGTGTCTTCATTACATCTGCAAAATCCCCTCACCTTTGCCATATAACGTAGTATAGTCATGGTTGTCACTTTTGTCATATTTTTCTAATGTTTAGAAGAAAGTTGACTGGGCACAGTGGCTCACGCCTGTTTTTGTTTTTGTTTTGAGACTGAATCACGCTCCGTTGCCCAGGCTGGAGTGCGGTTGGCTGGGCATGGTGGCTCCCAGCACTTTGGGAGGCCAAGGCGGACCTCAAGGCCATCACTTGAGGTCAGGAGTTCGAGACCAGTGTGGTCAAAAGGGTGAAACCCTGTATCTACTAAAAAAAAAAATACAAAAAAATTTAGCCAGGCACGGTGGTGGAAGCCTGTAGTCCCATCTACTTGGGAGGTGGAGGAACCCAGGAGGTGGAGGTTGCAGTGAGCCAAGATCACGCCACTGCACTTCAGCCTGGGTGACGGAGTGAGACTCTGTCCGTCTCAAAAAAAAAAAAAAAAAGTTATGAGTTCTACCCACATGAAGCTGGAAAAGATTACACAAGGGTAATCATTGTATAATCCACAGAAAGATACCGGGGGGCAGGGGGGGAGAATTTCAGGGATCCACTTTAGCATTCTGCCTACAATGGAGGGGTGGAAACAGCAAGTGCCAAGATCCTGAGGCAGGAATGCGCCTGGCATGTTTAAAGAGCAAGGAGGCCAGTAGGGCTGGTGCAGAGTGACTGAACTCCTGAGATCAGAAAGGTAACATGTGACTGCACCTCATAGGCTTTTTCTCCAAATGAAATGGGGGAATAAGAGGGAGTTCTGAGCCAGCTCATGATAACTTTGGATATAGTGCTGTGAAAAGACTCGGGGAGCCGGGCATGGTGGCTCACGCCTGTTATCCCCACACTTTGGGAGGCCAAGGTGGGCGGATCACGAGGTCAGGAGATCAAGACCATCCTGGCTAACATGGTGAAACTCCGTCTCTACTAAAAATACAAAAAATTAGCCGGGCATGGTGGTGTGCACCTGTAGTCCCAGCTACTCGGGAGGCTGAGGCAGGAGAATCGCTTGAACCTGGGAGGCGGAGGTTGCGGTGAGCCAAGATTGTGCCACTGCCCTACAGTCTGGGCGACAGAGCAAGACACCTTCTAAAAAAAAAAAAAAAAAGGACGGTGAGGAAACTAGGGAGGAGGCTATGCAACAATCCTCGTGAGTAATGTGAGTGCGATGTGCGCATCGAGAAGTGACCTGATTCTTGGTGCATTTTAAAGGAGGTACCAACTGCGGTTTGCTAATGGATTGGATGTGAGCGGGAGAGAAAAAGAGGAGTCGAAGATGACTTCAATATTTCTGGGCCGGGCTGAGTGCGGTGGCTCATGCCTGTATTCCCAGCTACTCGGGAGGCTGAGACAGGAGAATCACTTGAACCCGGGAGGTGGAGGTTGCAGTGAACTGAGATAGCACCATTGCACTCCAGCCAGCCGGGGTGACACAGTGACTCTGTCTCAAAAAAAAAAAAAAAAAAGATTTCTGGGCCGGGCGCAGTGGCTCATGCCCGTAAT